TGTTAAGGCTAATATAGGGCAATTTATTTCACCATAATGTGATATTACAAATGAAATAACCTTCTGTTCCAAGAATTGAGTTACAATACAATCCCATTTAGTTGCACCTAGTATAACTCGGACTTTGACTAAATCCGATTTTCGATTTTCTTCAGATTCTCCCACTTAATTCAAACCAAACGTCGTACCTCGGCTGATAGGGACATTCGCTAAGTGACACCATTTCTTTACCCGATTTAACGAGATTCAACTGTACCTCCGCTCTACATGTATTTTGTTTTGAATGTTTCGTAAACACAATAGCTGCTTCAGCTAGCTTTTGGGTTTCTAAGATTCGGACCAATGTGTGTTGAAATAGGACAAAAAAACGCAAAACTTGGCGCATACAGTTTGGTGCAAATACTGGCATTGTAAAGCCTTACGTCATATGTCGATGCTCTCCTTGAAAAACTTTAGTTTTGAAGGACAAAGTATCAATACTACTCAAATAAGGTCACTGATTGATACTGGAAAGCAAAATCTGATGACTTACAATATGAAATGATAGAAAAACAGTGTCTCTTCAATATGTGCAGGCATGTAGTGAACTATTGGTCTAAATAAACTATAAGACACCCTTCCTAAAAGAAAGTTTGCAAAAGTGCCAAACGCATGGTTTTCAAAATTCGATAATGATTAATACAACTACTTTTTATGTAATTGGTCTTTACATAACACCTTAAGGCGTTGATGCTAGCCAGTCTCTTGCCAACGGATTACTTTCGCTAAAGAATTTTGAAAATGAATATTCGAGAGCTTTGTCGTGTTGAAGTTTCTTAAGTTCATAGTACATGGTAAAGAAAGATGAGAGAAATGTTATTTCATTTCATATCTTGCAAACATTACACCTTAAGCACGCAGTGGTTTCACGTGAGCAGTTTCCAATTCCTTTCTTGTGCACGTGCTCTGATCAATTTGACCTAAGTTATTTTTAGATTCGCTCTAGTCATGCATGTCAAATGTTTTTAAGTCCCTGTAAAGATTAGTTTATTGTTTAAAGTGCAATTGTAAAGTTTTGTTGATTGACATCAAGCCGAAGCTTCCAAATAAAGGCTGATTTCCACGAGGCGAAATTCGCAGCGAATTCGCTTCGAAATTGTCTTTGATTTCCACGGGACTGTGAATTCGCTGCGAAATTATATAATAATTTCCTCCAAAACTCAACTTTAAGGCGCCTATTTTAAGAACTGCACGCATGACGAATGTTTCAAGATTGTTTTCTTACTAATCAAGCAAATTTACCATGCTTTGACTGGTTATTAGGTGCTGCGAAATATTTCGCCGAGAAAAAGTAGAACTCTTTTCTACTTTCTTGCGAATTCGCTGCGAAATCGAAAAACCAAAACTGCGCATGCCTTGATGGCTTCATCAGCGATTTCGCCGTGAATTCGCTGCGAAATTCGCCTCGTGGAAATCAGCCTTAACGAACCTAGCTGCGACAATTACATCGAGTGAGGCTACATTTATGCAGGAGTGAGGCCAATAAAAACAATGTGCAAATTCGCGATCTTTTCTATGAAAAACGTTTCAGACTACTTGAAACAGTCCTTAAAAAACTGTATCCAAAACAAAGAGCATATGAAACAGAGAACGTAAAAAAGTCTTTAACCGTAGAAGCGACGTCGATGGTAATAATAATGACGGCGGCGGTAGTAGTAAGAATAACGGCGGCGGTAATAGTAAATTTGACGGCGACGCACGTAAATGACATGGCGACGCCTTCTTCTCCAAAAGGGAGATTTTTCCATTCTGGCATCTTCTGTGTCCTCTTTGCCTTCTATCATTTCAAGGTCATCATCGTCGTTGTCTTTGTTCATCTCTTTCCGGTCTTCAAAGGGCTGGTCTTCTGATTCGTCTTGGTCAGAGCTTTCCATGACCTCCATCTTTGCATCTGGTTCCTCTCCCATGACAGTTGATTCATTGTTCTCATTTATTGACGCTGCAGTCAGAGCAATAACACAGCAGAACCCAAATACTATAAGCAGCTTCATCTTTCCTGAAAAATGATTTACATTTCTCGATATTCCTCAATATTAATGAAAATAGGTACATTAGAAACAAGGCTATTACAGAAAGGAGATAGCCATCAGATTGTTGGCATAAGCGAAACGGAGAACAGTTGTAAGGTCTTCTTCAGAATTCAGAAAAATGTCTACTT